CACAACTTCCTCCACTCTCTCCTATCTTCGGCAAGCCTCTGCGCTTAAAGTGATGATGTAAGACCACTGTTATGGTGAGACCTAAACTTACAAAATTTGCGCAAGAGCAAGACTACGCCATCCGTTCGCAAAACTACCAGGAGGCCTTGTTTTGAGAAGAACGGGCAAGAAACTCGGCAAGTTTTACCCTCCATTATAATTATTCAAAGGAAAATGTCATAAACCACAACGTCATTAAAGTTACATAAGTAAAAATCTGTTCTGTGATTTACCAGATTCACCATTACACACATATTCACTACACTTCAAAGATAACAAAACAAATTATAACAATATAACTAGAACTATTGCCACGCGTTTTTGTCTTCTAGGTAGTCATTAACTGTGTTTACCTTCACATATATATATAACATACTGACATGCTATAAATAAATACCCTCAATATTGAAAAATGCATAAAATGTCAATTATATTTAACGGGTTTTATATGAAATTCGTGTAGTCCAATGATTTCACATTTAAAAGCACTTACATGGAACTGGAAATAGCATTCAGTTAATTACAGAAACTCATACGTTACCGTCACTCACAAGTCACACTTTACTGGTAAATACATAAACATTATGTTGATTACAACAAGCACGTACTGGAATAATTAAATTTAAATTTGTTTAATTACTAAGAAACGTCAATCGTAATTCAAGCTTTACTACGATATAATTTTTATATTTTTTATCAACAAATATTTTGACATATTAGCATAATTCGACATAGAGTTTTTAAGAAGAGAGCATATCAATTCTTAAAAGGCCGGAAACGCACTCGCTAGCCATCTGTCATTAGATGTCCATGGCCGGCGGCGTACTATAATAATAAATAATTCAGTATACAGTATGCTGTAACATGGATAAATATGTTGAGCTTTCAAAGTTTATTTATATATATAACAATGTTCGTCCCACACTCCTCCGAAACGGCTCTACCGATTCCTTTGAATTTTTTTATGCATTTTCAGTAAGTCTGAGAATTGGCTACTATCTATCTTTCAAACCCCTAAATATTAAGGGTGGTCCCTCCCTAAATATTTATGGTACAGCATACAAAAATACATAAAACCCTTAATTGTCACCCCTCAACGATCAACCCTTATTTTTTATTATTGTAAATAGTTATATTTATTGAACTAAAAAAATATTTCCTAGAAATAATATACAGGGCAAAACAACGTTTGCCGGGTCAGCAAGTAGTATAACATAACATTTTTCGAATAAAACGACGCAATTCAAACATCGATATATTGTAGGTGGGCTGATCACCTCATAACTTAAAAACAAATAGCGAAACAGACACAGAAATGTCTATCTAGTGTATTTAAGTTTGAATATGTTGGTTTTCAGAAGTTACGCTATCCATTAAAAATCCCGAGCTACTCTTCCCTTACATCTAAAGAATAAAGCCGTGGGAAGCATCTAATACATTATAATCCATCAATAGCTTAGCTAATCGCTATCGCTCGGTGGAAATGCACAAGTCACAATGCAAGCTCACTGGGAAAATTGGACGGTCGGGATTTACGTGGAATTGACCAAACGTCGCGCGGCTTATTTACGATAAGTATTCTTGGTACTAGTTGGCTGGGTTTGGAATTTTTACTATATGATAACCTCGTATGTCAAAAAAGTATTTATTGATGTGAAACATCTATTAGCCGAACGTAAAACCGATTTATGGCGTGGCGACGCGTCGCCCCCTCTATATGATGGTATATATATACAGTCACGATTTGAAATAAATTCGTAAATTTTTGCATTTAATGAAAATAATGTTTATTCAAAAAATAGTCATCGTTATCTGGAAAAAAATCGTAATATTTTATTTTATCATTATGACATATTTAGTTCCTATCACAATCTGTTCTTTCCTGCATATTACTTTTAAAAAATAATGTCGATGTTTCACATCTGCCAGGCGTCCCGTGACGGCTCACATTTTTTTTATATTTTACCCTATTTCTCACTGAAAAGCAGTTCTTTAAATCTACCTAAAATATTTAAATGAAGATTTTATTCTTAGACTCTTATGTCATTAAACTGGTATAATCGAATGAGGTTAGGGATTGGTTAATAACATAAGTCCTTTTTACCATCCAAAACTATGGAAAGCACATAATAATATTTTAACGAACAGTGACGAAATGAAAACTTCTTTTTCCTGTAAAATTTGGTTCTCTGAACATACGAAGATATTATTCTACAGCAACGATATGCATTAAGCCTTTTAGGAAAATAAACCTTTCTAAGGTTGTTCTTATAAACTTGGTTTATGCAATAAAGTAAAGTAAACTAAAGTAAAAAAATCATTTAATCATATAGGTAACATAATGTACACTTATGACATGTCAGTAAAGAAATACATATTGCTGCTTCTAATTTTACATTTAGTGCCAGTTCTCAAATCAAGGGCGTAGAACGGGAGAGAACTGGCAACAAACTCTCCGCCACTCTTTTAAATCGCCATTTTTTTGTTTTACAAAATCTTTGTAAGGAGCTGCAAGCATTACACCATGTCCCATGATTTGTCCCAAAGATTTGTCTTCTTTGAGCAGGAGGCATGGTTAAGTAGGAGCACGCACTTACATTCTCTTGGGAACAACACGCATACAAACATCACCGCATACACGAATTTAAGTACGACCAGTCACCACAATTACACATCATTTTTAAATGCCGTATTTATTATTTCACTGTAAGAAACGCAAGTTTTTCGATTGGCTATATGTTTATATGTAGAAAGTATAGTAGTGTTTTAATTAACTTTGTAGTTTATTGGATAATGGCGATTATCGAGTCTTAGGGTTTGGAGCATGTAATAATAATTGTAAAAGCAAAGAAAGCTGATCACGTACTTGCCTAATCAATTAAACAAACTCGTATACCCTAGTGGCATGCTCATATATTACTACTGGACATAGCTTAAAAAAAATCTTCAATAGAATATAAAAATTATATTTTATTACACAATTACTTTCGTAAAATACAGAGCAGGTTAATAAAACATTATCAGTTGAATCTTCACGGTTTTTAACTTCGTTCGCGCATAATGCACCGTAGTTATAAAAAAATTTAGTTGTAGACAAGCCGTTATAAATGTACCACGGAACAGAATCTTCCACAACACAGAAATGTCTCAAATGTACGAGCATCGCTACAGAGAGTAAATATGCGTAATTTAAAATAAAAACTAAATATATTATTACATACAAATAAAATCTTCTGGAAGTTAAAAAACTTAAAAAAAGGTGACAAAAAACTACACATTTTAATTTTTATTAGACACTCATAACAATGCTTTGTTGGGCCCAACATCTCAATTCTATTGCATAAAAGGTCCAATCTCCAATCAATAATTTAACCTTTTGACATGTAAATCCGCCATCAAGTTGCACTTACAAAGAAAACAAACAAAGAGAAATCAGTACAAATGAAATTTGCATAGGAAATACCGGCGACGGAAAAGTCATAGGAGCCATGTGTGTTACAGTGATTGCAAACAGAATATATATTGCTTGCCGTATGAATTTTGCGATATTACGTATGCTGAGTGGCCGAACCACGATTTTACCTTATATTTTGGCAGACTGTATGATTTGTTAGGGAGTTTTGCATGAGACGATATTATTAAATGGAATGGTTTAAAGTGCTATTGCTTTTAATGTTTCAATATAAACTTTATAAGAAATTTATATTTGCAATAAGTTCGTATATTGTATGCCAATTACTTACAAGTTACAAGGCACTTTCTTTTGCTAACTGTGGAATCGACTCCCGGTGGGGGTCTTCCCTGAGAGATTGAACTGGAAATTGTTGGTGTTATCTAGAATGTATTAAGTCAAGTACCATTCATAAAAATCATTAATATGTCAAATGGACACACGGAATATTAGTGTAATAAAGTTGTTTCTTTCTTTCTTTTTTTTTAAAGACTAAAATAAGATATGTATATCTCGGTATGTATAAAGTCAAATTAGTTCAAACCAGTTATATGGTTTATTTGATTTGCCAATATTAATAGATCTGCAAATTGTCAGACTATTTGATAGTCTGTAGTAATTTAATAGTCTTTAGACGTCAAAGTCATATTAGAGCAAAACCGTTAAGGCTGCCTACGCACTGGCGACCATAGACGCGGCCAGGCCGCCGCGGCCATGGTCGCCGGTGCGTAGGCAAGCGCGACATGTGGACGGCCGAAAAATTTGCAGTCGACTTCCAAGGATGTGTCAAGATGGACGTGCAGAAGATAATCACGCTAACTGTGCTTGTGTATTTACTACGAAAACGAAAACGGAAGATTTCACGTAAAAGACAGTTTTGGGTGCATCCATTACTTTGCGAGAGAAAGACTAAAGGATTATATTATACTTATTTTTTGGATTTAAAAATGTATGAGAAGAGATTCTTTAATTACATGAGAATGTCAACGAATACTTTTAACCTGTTACTGGATACAATAAAACCAAAAATTACTGGAACTGGTAACAACTATCGGAAATGCATTCCAGCAGAAGAAAAATTAGTAATAACAATAAGGTAAGCTTTTTCTTTTTTAAATACAGAATGTTTAAAAAATACGTGATATATTTTAAAGGATGTTTCGGAATGGAGTATTGTGTACAGGAAAAATAAAAATAATGTGATAGGGCCTTTTTTTTTACTTAAACTGCTAAACGGATTTTTTTGTAAATTTGAATTATACAAGACTTGATTCTGAATCACCCTAAACCACCACTGTTGCGTTTTTCACAACAACCTGTATAATTCATTGACCAAGGTTTTGCCACTTTAAAAAATTTATGAACTATTGTTCAGTAGTATTCTACTTTACGACTTTGAAAAGGAGAGGAAAAGGGCTTGCTTATAACATGTTTTTAAATATTAAAAAACTGAAGTAGATAATCAAATTATTTGTATTTTCATAACTTAAAAAATGGCAATTGTGAACAATTAATCATTCAAATTGGGAAATAGGTCTATCATTTCTGAATTTTGAGAAATATCAGAATAATGAGTATGAGTATCGCTGTAATTTGAATCATCTGATATCCTGTTGGTAGTAGAATAACCTGAATAACTCGGTCGATTTGTAGGTGTACAGTTCGGTTGGTATTTTTCTATAATTTCCATGATTTCCATTTTCGCTTTGGTCTTCATTGCAGCAGGGATTGTTTGAAATCTTTCGAGGAGGGATAAAAGAAACAGTCTGTCACAATTTGAATCATTCTGTGTAGTCGCTATGGTCTTATGCAGAACTGAAATTAGAGGGTCTGTATCGGATTCTTCGTTTGGTATTTTTTTCTTCCTTTTTGTTCTAAGCGACTTTGATGCAGACTGTTGAGTCTCAAGATCAGAAGATCTTGCACTTTCATTTTCTTGACTTGCCTCTTCGAGACTATTTTCTGTTGCGTTTGTGTCCAGCACTGATTTCAAAAACAGTAATTGGTTGAAATAGGTGTATTGTGATTTACGTTTTGCAGCAGAACCACTTTTGACATCTTTAAGACGGCGCAGCTCTCTTGTGAAACAGTCTCTAAGGTTTTTCCATCTTTTTTGGAGAGTAATGCCTGTAAATCAATAAATAAATGTAGTACATATTACAAAACTAATATTATGTTTATTAATGTGAATTTTATTTTCAGGTATTTGGCTACTGGGTGTTCTTTATCTCATATAAGTCATGAATACCGTATAGGGCTTCCTACAGTATCGGAAATAGTATTTGATGTTTGTGAAGCAATATGGGAGATATTAAAACCAATTGTGATGCCACAATTGACCAGAGATAAGTGGATTCAAACGGCTGAAGGTTTTCAAAAATACGCCCAATTTCCTAATTGCATCGGAGCCATCGACGGCAAGCACATTAGAGTTATCAAACCACAACATTCGGGATCTCTTTATTACAATTACAAGAATTATTTTTCAATCGTGTTACTTGCAATATGTGATGTAAATTATAAATTTCTTTACTTAGATATTGGAGCATACGGCAAATGCAGTGATTCGTCAATTTACAAAGACTCTGTATTTTATCATAGGCTTTTAAATAATGATCTCGATATTCCGAGCAATAACCCCATCAAAGAAAATGGCCAATCAATGCCGTTCGTTTTAGTGGGTGATGAGGCGTTTTCACTATCGGAACATATGATGCGACCGTATGCTGGGAGAAACTTGAATAATGTAAAGACTAATTTTAATTATCGACTATCCCGTGCCCGCCGCTATATTGAATGTACATTTGGAATATTAGCCAATAAATGGCAGATTCTTCACCGACCCCTAAACGTCAAGAAAGAATTTGCAGTTGTGATTATAAAAGCTCTATGTGTGCTTCATAATTTTGTGCGAGAAAGAGACGGATATGATTTCAAGGACACGTTAACTGTACCAGAGGCTTTATTAGAAATACCTGCATGTTTACCTAATAGAGCAAATAGAACATCAACCGAATATCGAGATATATTCGCAAACTACTTCAGTACCGATGGTCGCTTGCCCTGGCACAATTTGTAAATATATGGGTGCTCGCCGCGAGCCGCCATTGCGCGCCGTAAACAAAATGGCGTCGAACGCACATGCGGTATGAGTAATCTTTTAAAAAGTTATTCCAATCATTACGAAAACCTGGGAAATTTTAGCAAATAATTGTCAAAACTCATGTGCAAAGCGAAAAATAGTAGAAATAAAATAGTTATACTTTTGACAATTACCTATTTGCTAAAATTTCTTAGATTTTGAATGAACGGAACAACTTTAAAAAAAATCACTCATGTCACATATACGTGTCGAATGCTACTACAGCACCTGCTGCGTTTATTGTAGTTCATCGCATTATTAATTTACTTAGGCATAATAAAATAAAATACTAACCAAGTTCTGCCTTTTCTTTATCTTCCATGGATTCACCGCCAAATATATCGACCACTTCAAGCCACAACTGCCGCTTAACATCTTTATTGGAGTAATCATTTGATGCTAAATCCCATAAACCTCTTCTATTTTCAACTTCAATTATGAACCTTTCCGTGTCGAAATTGGCCATTGTAAAATAATCACTCTGTAGCTAGCTACACGTCTGGTCGCCGCGGCCGATGCGGTAGCACTGATGAATTTTAATACAGAAGTGATGTTCTCGACGGCCACGATTGGTCGCTGGTCGCGTGGCATCAAATTGGACGCCGCGGCCAACGGTGGCCGCTGGTCGCTGGCCGCTAAGTGCGTAGGGGCTATAGCGATTGCCATATAAAGTCCAGAATTCACTGGCCGCCGCGGCTAGGTCGCGGCGACCATGGTCGCCAGTGCGTAGGAGGCCTAATACGAATGATTTATTTAATTTGTCAATGTTGCTAGATCTAAAAATTAACGACTATTGAATAGTAGTTAATTTTTAGATTGGTCGATGAATAATGACTATGGAGTCATTATTAATATTGCTAGAAGTTATTTATCATAATTTTAAATATTAGCAACGCAATGACAATAAATATCAAAGATTACTTTAATTGATACATTAAATTACTACAGACTATCAAATAGTTTGTTAATTTGCAGATGTATTAATATTGGAAAATCACATAAGGCATAACTTATTTGAACTTATTTGACTTTGAAGTTATTAAAGAATGAAAATGTCAGCCGATACCAGCGCCATTGCTCCGACATATATATAAATCGTAATATTATTACTAGCATAGACCTTACCTGTTCTGAATTATGACTAAAAGTACCATGGTGTGCTAAATTAATTTTAAAATTATTTAGTAGTATAATCATAATCGAAAGCCGAACAGGGAGATCCGTAAAATAAGCATTGACTCAATGTTTCGAGAAAAATGCTATTAGTCATTTCCAAAACCATGTATATCTACATAAAGTAACTTTTAGCACCCCTTTGTAACCAGACATAAACAGTTGACAATCGTTCCTAAGCATGCCACACGCTATAATTTAAAACCACAATCATATCGTTCACATCGGAATTATTCCGAAATTACCCTGGAAATGTAAACAATACCACTTTCAATTACAGCCTGGCCCCGTCTGGCGTAGCGTGTATTAAACCTGCCGGGCAAAAACGTTTGACCCAAATGACAGAGTGCAATCAAGTGAGCACAATCCTGGCATTCATTTTTCAAAGTAAACTCGACAATAAGGCCCCATCAATCATCGGACAAAGAAGCTTGAAAATGCAGGCAAATACTTTTGTATTTCGCTATTAAGTGTGGCCAGTACCGACAGGGACGTACTTACGAGTAATGAGGTTTGTTATATTGTTAATACAGTAGTTAAACTTTTGCGTTAGGGTTTATTTCTTCTTAATTCTAAAGATAACTCATAATCTTACACCCTTTTACTTCAAGAGATTATTTTTAATGATATCTTTTCGCCTTTTCCCAAAGTAGTAGGCAGAGGCAATTCGACTAAGGGTCAAAAAAAGAGCGTGCCAATTCTTAAACGGCCTGCCGCGATCGTGAGCCCTCTGGCAATATGTGAGTGTCTATCACTTAACATCAGATGAGCCTCCTGCCCGTTTAAAAAAGAGACCACCGATCTTCACTTGCTAAGTTCTGATATACCTCTCTCGCTTCATGCACTTTCATGGCATTCCTTATACTTATTATGCATACCTGACTTACCATCCACGGTTGCTGTGTCCACTACTTGCAAGATTTTCATTCCCTCCTTCATGTCTAGACCTAGCATTCCTGTTCGTTTCGTTGTCATTTCTTTTGTTTCTTTTGATTCAAACTGTTATACTTATAATAAAATTGATTGTCCATTACATTTGGTAATATATTAATTGTATCCTATAACAATCAAAGTTTAATTATAAAAATGCTAAGTTTGACTAATTGAAGTTTAATAATTCAATCCATAACATTTGTTGTTATTAATAGCTTCACGGCTTTTATAATACTTTCTAAGATTTTATTTAATTGTTGAACGGAAAGCGCATAATTAAAATACCAATAATGTTTTTAGTTATATTTCTATCGTTCTCATTTCCGAGTCTCGGGCAAGTCCGGCTCTGTCATAGACACTTATCGTGTAATTTGTAAACATATAGTCCCAATTTTCGACACCGCGTGCTAGCGTTCATTGTGTGATAATTGATGTCGTGGGAATCTCATAGTTACGTAATCTACTATGATGAATAAACATCGATTAAAGTTATTTATTTTAAAATGCTCTTTCAAATTATCAAATGGGTTACATGGAGTAGGTAGTATAGTTTGTTTTTTATAGAATAAAAGGGGGCAAAGGGGTCCTTCAAGAAAATAGCGAACGAATTCTTAAAAGGCCGGCAACGCAGTCTTGAGCCTTCTGGCAATCCTCCAGCCTGTTATATAAAAAAAAAATTATAAAATAGTTTAGTTTTCGGTTTTGTTAATTATTATATTTTTAAAACACTTTTTATAGCTGAAAGTCTTGCATTATATGTATTACTTATGTAGTTTCAATAACTGGTAATATTATGTTTTTTTTAATATGTTTTCTATGACACATATATACTTAAACACTCAGCGATGCATTTCTTAGCTTTATTAAAAGTATTTTATATTATATTTCATCTTACGACCACATTATATCAACAGCAAACAATAGAAAACATTGTAATATTTCGTTCCTATAATAATAAAAAGAAAATGAAATAAGAGATTAGGTTTTTAGTTTATATTATTTTTTTTTTAAATAAAAGTTGGTGATTCTATAATTGTTTTAATAAGATTTGGTTATGGACTTCTTGCACTTTACCCATAATATTTATTTTATTAGTTTTTTCCCTTACTAGGGTTGTCTGGAAGAGATTGCTTGATAACGATAAGGCCATTGCATCCCCTATAATTTTTATGTATCATGTTATTTGTTTTTGTTTAAATGTAAAGAAAAAAGTTACAAAAAATACCAAGAGACAGCCCTGTATATCGTAATGTATAAACATAAAGTACCAATTTTCGGTACCGTGTGCTTATTGTACGATAATGGACCTCGTGGGAATTGATGCAGACTATCATTGCGGATATTGATTTGTTACCTTTCACCTCTGAGAAGAAATTACCTTCCGGTTGAATGATTCCTAGCTTTGTGCGTAGTAAAATAAAATAAATCAGTGGCGCTACAACCTCTTTAGGTCTTGGCCTCAGATTTCTGAATCTGTTTCATGATCATTTTTTAATCTAATACGCAAGTAGGTAATTAGTCTCCAGTGCCTGACACACGCCGTCGACTTTTTGGGTCTAAGACATGTCAGTTTCCTCACGATGTTTTCCTTCACCGTTCGAGCAAATGTTAAATGCGCACAATGCACATAGATAGAAAGTCCATGAGGAAACTTATATTGTATGTCTTACCTATTAGATTGACAAATGATCATGAAACATATCCAGAAATCTGAGGCCCAGACCTAAAAAGGTTGTACCGCCAGCGATTTTTTTTTAAATCTTAATTATCGATATTTTAGGTCTTAAGTCGACAAAAAACTTGCTTTTGTATTTAGGAGACGGTTTAAACGATATTTTTCAAAGTATTTGATTTAAATTTTCCAAAATAAAACCATATTAATATATGTACTTATTGTTTTATTAAGTTTTACTCTCAAAATCAATTACAAAAATGCGAAAACTGATTTAAAATAGCACGCTTTTACTTTTATTTTATGTTCATAAGAACTTTTTCCATAACATAAAATGGACTTATTATAACAATACGTATAGTGATACTCATAAAAAAATCTTTGCTTATTTCATTTTATCTTTTATGAAACCTATCAATACAGTATAGTTCACATGTAGTGAGCGTGGGAAAAAACAATTAATTGATTACGAGCATAAAATGCGTATAATAACTACTGCGCAATTATTTTTCTTGCAATCTGTATTAGC